GGCGGGGCCGGCCCGGCGGCGGCGGGCGGCGAGGCCGGCGGGCAGCAGCAGCAGCAGCAGCAGGAGCAGCAGGAGCAGCAGCAGCATGCGCGGGAAGGCGGCGGCGGCTGGGCGTTCGCGCTGCCGCCGGCGTACGAGCGGGCGGTGTCGTCTAAGCTGGAGGTGGTGAACGCGCTGCGCGGCCGCATCAAGGGCGCCGTGTTGGATGAGCCGCGGCGGCAGCAGCTGCAGGGGGTGATACAGGCTTACTTCCGGGAGTGGCTGCACAGCAGCGGCGCCATACGGCAGGTGGGGCGCTCTGCTTGGGGGCCGCTTGATTGCATGCATGTGCGTGTAGGTGTGCATGTGTGTGCATGTGTTTGTGTGTGTGTATGGGTGCATGCATGTGTGCGTGCATGTGGGTGTGCATGTGTGTGTGTGTGTGTGCGTGTGTGTGTGTGTATGTGCGCACGAGCTTTGCAAAGGTGCCTCGTGAGTTTGGCGCCGCCTGCTGCTGCTGCTGAGGGGCCTGTAGATTGCAGCGGTCGGTTCTATGGGGTACGTCGACGTTGATTTGGCAATGCTGAAGTGCTTGACCACCCTTGCATCCCGGTTTGACCGACCCCACCCGTCAGGTGTTTGACCTGTCAAAGCTTGAGGCAGATGAGTCTACGCCCTCTGGCGGCAGCCCGCCCCACGTCCCGCGCGGCGGCGCGTTCAGCGACCTAGTCACAGGCAGCAGCAGCGGCGGCAGCGGCGGCGGCGTCGGCGCTGTTGGGGCGGGGCCGACGCTGCCAGCCTTGATTGGGGCCGCGCAGAAGGGCGGCGGCAGCGGCGGTGGCAGCGGGGATGCGGGCCAGGATGGCGCCGGCATGGGGGGCGCGTGAGCAGCTAGCTGGCTGGTCAGCGGGTAGGCGCATTGCATCGCAGGCTATGCCACAGCTGGGGCAGGTTCAGTAATGCTAGGCAGGTCTGGCGGGCATCGGGGGCCCCGCCACCGCATGTGCATGCGCGCGGCACTGTGTGGTGGCCGCACCTTGCATGTGCAATCGCATGCATGCCAGTAGCACGCGTGTAATTACACAGTTGTGCAAATCGGCGACGTCTGGCTAGTCACTGGTGGTGGTGACCAGATCAACGGTCAAAACAGGGTTGACCAGGGGGGACGGCACGTTCTCTCACGTTGGCGCGCATGCGAAACACGCAAACCCGACACGGCCACCTAGGGGGCCGGGGCTAGCCAGTTGCGCCAGCGAGGCTGCAGCAGGGCTGATGCACAGCCGCAGCAACCCGAGGTGGCCTGGCAGCCGTGCATGGGACGAGGGGATAGCGGAAGGTAGACAGGCAGTCTCACGGGCCGTTCCGTTCTTTGCTAGTGGGAGCTTGGACAGACTCAGCCGGGGGCTGCGGCTGAGGGGCCGAGTTGGCTCTGCTGCTGTACAGTGCGCTCCCGCAGCTCCCGCTGCGCCTCCTCGCACTGCTGCCTGTGCCCCGTCCGCACCCAGTGGTTGCGGCAGCAGGCCTGGCTGCAGTAGCGTACGCCCGTCAGCACGCCGCACCCCGCACAGCGCCGGAGCGCTGCGCCCTGCGCGGATGTCTTTCCGCAGTACGCGCAGCCGCGGGTGCGGCCGCTGCGCGGCGCGGCGGTGCCGCATGCCGCGGGCGCGGCTGTGCGCCCCCGCAGGCGGCCCCCATGGGCCGCCTTGGAGGCACTGGGGGCGAGGGGCTCGAAGTAGCAGCCGTCGCCGTCGTCGTCCTCACCCATGAAGCACAGGTGCTCCGCGGCCGCCTCCAGCAGGCAGGCCAACAGGCAGCTCCTGCCCGCATCGACGGGCGCCGCAAACAGCGCGCGCATCCCGGCGTCGAGCCCGGCGTCGCCCCACCCGCTGCACCCCCGCGCCGGCGGCGGCTTCGCGCCGGTGTCGCCGGCGGGCGCGCACACCGCGCAGGGCAAGGGGCCGCCGGCGGCGCCGGAGAGGGCGGGGTCGGGGGCGAACGCCAAGCACGCCGCCGCGCCCATGCCACGCAGCTCAGGCGCCGCCGCCCCCGCCGGCGCTGCGCCCCCCTCGCCGCCGCCGCCCCCGCCGCCCCTCAGCTTTCGCAGCTCCGACTCCATGCGCACCCTCAGCGCCGCCACAAATGGGCCGTCCGCGGCGCAATCTGGGAACTGGCAAGTGAACCAATCGAACGCCAAGTCATGTTTGTGCGCGCCCTCTTCAGCCACGGCGTCCTCATTGTAGACCGGGCGGCACAGGAGCGCCGCTGCGCGCCGCGCGGAGCCGGCGTCCCCCGCGGCCGCCGCTGCGTCGGCGGCGCGGCGCGCCTCGACCGCGGCCGCGGCGAGCAGCGACAGCTGAGTCAGCTTGCTGCAGCCGCCGACCGCGCCGACGGCTGCCCGCACCGGATCCCACTTTTTTTCCACCGCCGCCGCAGCAGTGCCCGAAGCCGCTGCTCCAGCCACAGCCCCGTCCGGCCCCGGCTTGTCGGCATGCGCCGCGGCCGCGCCGCTGCTTGCGCTGCGCGGGCGGGGCGTGTCTCCCATGAACAACCAGCGCCCGTCCGCTCGCTGAATCACCAGCAGGCGCACCATCAGCGTGAGCAGCGCGCTGCACAGCGTGTGCGTCGCCTCCGCAACTTCCGCCCGCCGCCGGCGCGCGCGCAGGTCCTGCTGCAGCTGCTCAGCGGCGTCCTCCCCGACGGGGCGGCCCGCCATCGAGCCGGCTGAGAAGGCGTCCCGGCGCCACTCCTCGTCCGCCGTTGCTCCGCCAAGCACCACTCCGCCGCCGCCGCCGCCGGCGACGCCCGCGGCCGAGGGCGCGTGCGGCTGCGCCAGGCACCGCCGCCGCCGCTGTGCAGCGAGCTCAGACGCGCATCCTTGCAGCAGCGACGGCGCCGCCGCGAGCAGCGCCGCCCACGGCGCCGGGCCCGCGCCGCGCGGCGGCGCCACGTCAACGCACTCCAACAGGGCGTTGAGCCCAGCGCTGCTGCAAAGCGCTGCGGCGGCAAGCGCCCTGCCGTGCATCTCGAGCGCCCCGGCTGCCGTCGGCGCCGCCGCCGGCCCGGGCGCGAGCGGGGTCGCGAGCGGGGGCGCGGTGACGACGCTCACAAGCGCGGCGAACAGCCGTCCCTTGCGAAGCGCCGACGCCGCATAACACCAATCATCAAGGATGTGGCAAACCGCCGAGCACACGTGCGTGCGAGCGCGGACGAATTCCTCAAGACGCCGCCCTCGCCCGCCCCTCGCCCCCTCAGGCGCGCCGCGCAGCAGCGCGTCGCAGGCGGCGTCCAGCAGCCGCCCGTGCCGCGCCGCGGCGCCTTCGTAGCCGCCCGACTGCGCGATCTGCGCGAACGCCTCTGCCGACGCCGCCGCCCAGCCGGTCGGCGCGCCGTCGGTAAGCCCACGCGCGGCCGCGTCCAGCGCCGCGGCCTGCACGTCCTCATCCATGCGCTCCGCCGCCGCGCCGCGGCACAACTCGGGCAGCACGCGAATTGGCAGCTCTTCCGGCTCGCCATCGGAGGCCGCGCCGTCGTCGGCCGCGCCGTCGTCGGTCGCCCATTCGCGCAGCAGCGGCAGCGCGGCGGCGGGGCACGCGGCGAGCGCCTCTCCGGCTTCCGGGGCGGCGTCGAGCATCACGTTGAGCGTGTGGACGGCGTCGTCGTGCAGGTCACTCTGTGGGGTGACGTCGGGTGTGCGGGTGTGGTGGGTGCGGTGCATGTATGGGGAGGGTGGACATGTGTGTTTGCGTGCATGAAAGATAGGGAGAGAGAGAGAGAGCGCCAGGAACGTGCGCGCCGGCGGCCGCAAACGATGGACCCTGAACCCTGAATCCTGAACCCTAGAGCCTGAACCCACCTCGTCGCCGCCGACGCACGACCCATATTCAGCGCTCGCGACGTGCGCCAGGTTGCACACCGCCGCCGGCGCCGCGCGCGCCAGCTCAGCCAGCAGCCCCGGCTCGTCGTCCCCCAGCACGCGCAGCAGCCGCACCGCGCGGGCCAGGCGGAACGAGCTGTCGGCGCTGACGTCATCCTCCGCCTCCCTGCATTCCGCCAGGGCGCGCGCGAAGCGCGCTGGCAGCCTGGCGCGCCCGGGCCTTTCAAGGGTGAGCAGCAGCAAGTTGTATTCGCGCCCGGGGTCGAGCGCGCCGCCAGCCTCGGTGAGCGCGCCGGGCGGCGGCGCGCGGCGCCGCTGCGCGAGGCGCAGCAGAGCCAAGGTCGGGGTGTCCCAGTCGTCAGTGATAGCCGGGGGTTTGCCGATGTAAAGGGTGGAGACGAATGTGGCAAAGGCGGGGGTGGCAGTCGCCGCGTCGCAGCCGGCGTCGCCGCCGTGGATGACCAGGTGGGACAGGCAGGCCAGAGCCTGGAGTAGGGCCGCATGGCTGCGGGAGGGGGGCGGAGGCAGGGTGACGCGGGAGGGCGGCAAGCGCGGGCCGCCGCGCGGGCGAGGGGGGGC